TAGCTACTAGTAGTTAGTAATGCCCTTGTTACTAGTAGCGATGCCCTGTTACTAGGAGCTTGTAGCTACTTGTAGTTAGTAATGCCATTGTTACTAGTAGCGTTTCCATTGTTACCAGTAGCTTCTAGCTACTAGTAGTTAGTAATGCCGTTGTTACTAGTAGCGATGCCCTTGTTACTCGTCTTCTCTACCTACTATATAGTAGTATTGCCTTTGTTGTTAGTAGCTTCTAGTATTTTTTTTGGTTCACTACAAGGCCATTGCCATTGCCATGCACGGCGCTCCAATCAATCTACCCTTCCAAATCTATCTGCACACCAAGTGTTGGAGAGTCTGTGGGCCAGGGAAATGCCAGTCCACCTTAGGAAAAATCCGCATGGCTAAGCCAATAGTGGTAACGCTCTTCAGCCAGGAATGTTGTTTTGCTGTTTTTGCTGGAGTTGGTTGATTTAGAATAAACACATGTGGGAGCGAAGGTTCACACAGGGCTCGAGCTTCGCATACAAACGAAGGAGAGCAAGAGCTGTCCATCAACACTTGGTTGAATGAACTTGATCAATCGCATGTGGACTTGGCATGCGCTGCACACAGCCTCCTGCGCATGGCTTTACGGCGAACAAATCCTCCGCCACCAACGACAACATGGCAGCGGTGCGCACTCTGCCTGATGAGGTTGCAACACGGCCACTATTTTCTGTCTCAAACGCGGCAACCACGCACGGTTTGCTCCGCATGCTAGACTGGCCCTTAAATAAGGTGTCATTCTCTTTTGAGGATCCCCTTGGCCCTGGGTCACAGAGTGGGGGTGTGCTGAAGACCTTGGAGCCCCGCTTTCCATAGATTTCCACTCAGTTCATTTCACATCAGTGCGGTACCTCGTTCATCAAGTGAGATCACCTGCAACTTGGAATCCAGCAATCAAAGACCAGTAACCAACTTTTGTTGAACAAATAAATTAGCCAAATTCTCAGAATGCTGGTTGCCAACACTTGTGATCAAAGACACCAATCTCCAGGAAGGTGTCAAATCACAACCAAATTGTTTGAGGATGTACTGCCAAGTGGAACATGAAGAGCTACCCCCGAACAGTGAGAGAAATAAACACAGCAGATGCCACGATCATGCTGGGACATTCCTTGAAGTCGCACGCCTTTGCATGGCCCTGCAGGATTCCAAACTCTTTTTGCTTGATGTGGCCCAGCGCATGCAATTTTGCTATGATGAGCAACTCTGCAGCAGCTATGCATTGATTTCATCCTTCCAGATGCAAGGTGAAGTTCCATATGCACTTTCAAGGATTCTGAGCAACGCCCACCAGCAGGATTTGTTTGTCAAGCTGGGCCTCATTGCTGCTTCGGCCACATCTCTATTGATCTATTGCAAACAATACTCATGATGCTGGCTGAGGACAGCGCAATGGAAACAATGTTATGCAGCAGTTGATTCCTTTATGGTTTCAATTCGAAGCATTGGCAATGGTCGAGTGATTGTTCATGAGAACTCAAAGTGTGTGAGAAGAGTGAACTTGAGGTTGCAGTGTTGGAGCTTGCATTGGCCCGGTTGCGATCATGGGCACACGAGATCCAGCCCAGAAATCCTCACCACGAGGTGCAAAGTGTGCGTGCGGTTTCCATACCCAAGCGCAGAAAGTGACTTGTGGACCAGGAAGGACGGCTTGTGTGGCATGACCACTACAGCGGTTTGTACCCTCCAGCACCTTGGCCTCCAAGTGTGAGTTCCTGCTGGCTCAAAAGCGTATGAGGAATTTATGAGGTCCATGCAAACAGTCTTGGTGACTTAGGTGAATTACGCTGAGCAATTTGACTCTCTGAAGCACACCAGGCTCACGAATCTTATGTAGATTTGGCTCCCTCCTTGTTTGGCCTTTTTTTTCATGTTTTTTTCCCGCTCGTACTGTATTATACTCAGCGAAGTTAGCTAATTACTAGCAAACTAGGAAGCTACTACATACTGGATGCAGTATAGCGCACTAATGATTTGGTTCCTAGATTTTTAGGGGAACTTAACTTAAAGTGGCCATGTCGGTTGCTGAACCAGGTTTCAAGAAGGGGTTGCCTTGCCCCTCGCATTCATGTTCTTTGCGGCAGCTGCATGCTTGCACAGTGCCCGTTCATTCTTCTATAATATATGGTTCGAAATCGCATTCACCTTCCAAGTTGTCGGGATTGTGTGAGTGTCCTTCCTATATTGCCGATACAGCGAATGCAGAATCAATGTTGTGCTGAAGGTGTTCGATGCAATCAATCATTGTACCTCGCAGGCCAACTCGATTCATATATATATATATTTGTTCATAGAAAACACTTATATGCAGTGTTGTCAATCTCCCCTTTATTTTGGAATTGGTCACAGATCGGCTGGATTCAGAGATATGCAATTGCCTTAGTCGCCAGTTCTTTTGGGCAGTTGCCTGCAGTGAGCATCGCTGTTGTTTCGGAGTTTGTTCATTCTTGAGTTGCTCCGTCCTCCTATATGTCAGAGCCTTCCTGACCCAAAAGATGAAGCCAGAAAAAATATCAAAGCGTCGCAAACGAAGTCCTGAAGCTAGGTGTAGTGTCCACGATGTCCACGACAAAGTCAAAGTGCGAACCACAAGGTTGCGTTTTCATGCACGAACGAAAGGTGTCGTACACCCAAGGGCCCTCGTGGACCGAGACACAGCGGAAAGGAACGAAATCGGACATGTGACATGGTTGACACTGTGTGTGTGTGTGTGTGTCCACCCCTGGACAAAGGGTTTTCCACCGCCACTCTTTTCACCGTTTTTCCACCACTTTCCACACGCAGGGGGCAGAGGGATCTCCAGTCGTGGCCTCTGCCAACGAAGCTCCACACTGGACGATCAGGAAAACGTACCTGCGCCGTGACACTACTCCACTTTTCCGCGCTGTGTTTTGATGCCATGGTTGTTGATCACGATACTCTCCCCTAAAACAGGTTTCCCACAGCTGCTTTCAGCCGACCGCGCGAGCGTTTGCCACTGCAGTCACGCACAAACAACTTGTTCAACTTTCAAGTGAACTGACTTTCTCGCCATGCTGTTCCTTCACCATTTTCGACCTGGGAACTGAGTTAACTGAATACAAGTGTCAGAGTGTGTCTCGCTCAGCCGTCCCACTCGGGTGCTGAGTGTGATCCCAGTCACAGGGGCGCTGTTTTTGCATGGGAAAGCAACAATCACAAAGCACCACTACTCATCGGACCCTCACAGGCAGACACCGACACCCTCACCGAATCAACTGATACACTGGCCGCCGGGCCCAAAAACGGTTACTTTCGAATACATCAGATTTCGGATCCATCATGCATGTTGTTTTTCCACATGTTGCAATTTTAGATTAATGCGTCTTGCACATGGTTTTCTGCATGCTGTGCCTTTTTGATTTGACGGCTAAGTATTCACATGCATGTGCTGCTAAGTATTCACAGGCCGGCTTTCTGCATGTTGTGCCTTTTTGACTTGACGGCTAAGTATTCACATGCATGAGCTGCTAAGTATTCACAGGCCGGACGAATTCATCACGCATTCCCCTCCCTACCCCCAGGCCTCCGTTGCTATCCCATCCGCTACTCGGGAAACAGAAGGAAATCGCACTCAACACACTTGTGTGTTGGTGCCTTTCCTTCTGTTTCTCCTAGCCTATTGCTAGCTACCCGGGCGGTTTAAGACGAATGTCCCGCTCGCGTTCTACTTTCATTTAATTAAGTGGGCCTCGTAACTACTCCTATCTTTCTTTCTTGCCCTCTTAGTCTGCTTTTGTTTTGTTTGTTTTCTCTGTCTTTCTAAGGCTTTTTAGGTGGCTATTAGTTTTGACAAAGCACGCCTGCCACCGTTTTTTGGAAAAAGCGCCGACAACGGCGACCTGTGTGTGTCCACCCCTGGACAAAGGGTTTTCCACCGCCACTCTTTTCACCGTTTTTCCACCACTTTCCACACGCAGGGGGCAGAGGGATCTCCAGTCGTGGCCTCTGCCAACGAAGCTCCACACTGGACGATCAGGAAAACGTACCTGCGCCGTGACACTACTCCACTTTTCCGCGCTGTGTTTTGATGCCATGGTTGTTGATCACGATACTCTCCCCTAAAACAGGTTTCCCACAGCTGCTTTCAGCCGACCGCGCGAGCGTTTGCCACTGCAGTCACGCACAAACAACTTGTTCAACTTTCAAGTGAACTGACTTTCTCGCCATGCTGTTCCTTCACCATTTTCGACCTGGGAACTGAGTTAACTGAATACAAGTGTCAGAGTGTGTGTTAAATGCATTGACAAAAAGAACATGGAATTACTTTACCCCGAGTGATCCCCACCATGACATTTCAATATGACCGATTTTCTGGTGTGTATTGAAACACTATTTTGGCATTCTTTCAGGCATATCTTCTGACACTCTTTCTGACATTCTTTCTGGCGTTCTATCTGGCATATCTTTTGACTCGCGGTTGAGGTCCGGCGGGGAACACTGCCAGCCGAAGCTCGCGGCGGAGGTCCTCCAAAGTGAAGTAGTTGCGCACAGGATCAGACAGGGCCTGGATCTTATTTTGAATAGCGGCATAGAACATGGTGTTGGCAGCCTCATTGTCGGGGTCGCCTTTGTGTGCGCAAATGCGTTACTCCAAATCTGGTGGCCACAAAACAATGTAGACCGCGAAGACTGCGACTCACCGCAGGAAAATCCGATACGGTAGACATTTTACTCCTGAAAGCCAACCCAGGAAGTGCTTGAAGCACAGTCCCAGCTGGCCCATTCTGCTGGTTCCTTGCTCCTTCTTTTGGGTGTGCACACGGGGCACGCAGCTTGCTGCCCCTAACTACGAAGGAGGCATTTTGCAACTCATGCTTAAATCATTTCAAAACAATGCGCGAAGCACCAAGACTTGTCCGTCGGACCAACATGAGGCATCAGATGTGTGCGGCTATGCAACGCTTGCTCTAGCATCAACAGTGCGATGTCAAGTTATTGAACCGGCTGGCTACGTGCCTTTTCGGCCAACTGTCTTGCACATGGGATTCGTCTTTGGCCTTCAAAGTCTTCGTGACAGTTCAGGACCTGTCGGACAATTCCCCATTTGTGCACAAACGTTCATGTCCCTTGGTGTCCTTTGCTTGTCGGCTGACTGGTGGCCACCTTCGCATGACCTGCGGGTGGGACCGCAGAAAGAAGAGCAAACTTGTTTATGTTCCTTCCTTCTTTACTCATAGCAAAGCCTAGATACGTGGGTTTGTTTATATATTTATACAGCATGTTTTCATACATGTTGGCTTCGAGTCCCACATTCAACTTTCCTATCGGTCCGGCTTGGCGCCTGCTAAGAATATGAGGGCAGTTGACGAAGTTAACAAACCTCAATGTTCAATCGGTGCATCTTTGCGAAGCGCGCTGGACAAAGCTTGCGTTCAATTTAAAACCTCTTGCACTTCGCTCTCTGCGCTTTGTAGATTCAAGGGAAGTGGTGGGAGGGTTTCTCTCTTTAGTTAAAGTTTGTTATTGCCGCAGTGAAAAAGCCATGCATGAAAAACTTCTTTGCAACGGCGAAGATGAAGGTGAAGGCCTAAGTGAAGCTGAGGTTGTAGTATGTAGTTACTCCCGCGCCTGAGGAGCATACTCGCCCTCTTGACCCTGGACCAGATTTGGATCGTCTCTTTGCGGAGGACAACATTGATCATGGTAATCCAGTTGAACCTGGAGAGGACTTGAGTCACCTGGGTCACTTCTGTCTGGAGCGCGACATTGATCCTGACGATGAAGCCAGAGGTGAGGAAGAACGATGCGACAACCGTGGGTGTGAGGATGAAGAGGATGATTGAGCTGAGACCGAAGAACTGAGAACTTTTTAAGAGGGTGGAGAAGAAAGGCACGCCAGGTTCATCTTCAAGCAAGGCAGCGAGCGTGGCGACTGGCGCCATGCCTTTGTTACCCTGGCAGCAGGGCGCGCGTGGACATCTTCTCGAATGAGTCTAACTTTGGGTTTTTCTTCCAGGCCGCGAGCAACGCAAACAACCACAGTTTGAAACCTGGCCAGCAGCCACATCTGGGCACGCCCATCTTTGCCAGACATGTCAGACTCGGGTGGGCTAAGGCGCAACAGAGAATTGCGGCTTCATCAAGATCGGGAGTGAGCATCACTTCATTTTCGCGAGGCTTGCAGGGCTAGACCCCCGGAGACTGTTCTCCAACGAGGAAGGACCTCAAGTGGTTAGAGCGGAAAAAATCAAATTCATTGGGGAAGAACCTGGCGCGTTCACCGCCGAGTTTGGGATTTGGCCATGTGAGGGTCTCGCTCGGGCTCCCACGGCGTTGGAGATGAAAAGCCTTCAAGGATTGAAAAGCCCGCGCAGAATGTGTATGTTGGTCAAACGCGTCGTGTGCCCAGGCCTTCTTCTTCGACGTCGAGCGCGGAGAAGAGTAACAAGAACAAGGGTCCACGAGACTAATGGGTGGAAGGCCACGCGCATGCCCTTCAGAGTGGTGGGCCCACGGACGGAAGGACCTTGGAAGAGCTTCTTCTTGGCGCTGAGCCACAAGGACGGCTTCACAAAAAGAACCTTGTCCTACCTGGGAATCGGTCCTACCAGGCGCGCAAGGACTTCTTCTGTTCGCCATCGCGCTTCACGAGCGCATTGTACAAGCGCAGAGTTCTGCATCCTTCATTATTGCGCCGTGGCGCTTCTTAGAAGCTTCTGTCCATTCCACCTCCATAAGACGGACTCATCCAAACCCTGTAGCGAGTTAGACGCTAAGCTTTACTATTGGCCAGGGTAACTTGCGCGTGGATGCTTAATGATGACGGCGGCAGGACAAGGTTTGGCCACGTGTGCCTTCGGCATGACCCCCCACTCCACCCTCAGTTTTGACGCGGTCGAAATTCAAGGCAGGATAACTGGGTCCGATCTGTCCGTTTTCATTGCGTTGAGCGTTGCAGCGTGCAGAATGACCTACCAGAGATCCCGGTGGGTTGTTTCAACGAGTGCTTTCCAAAGCAAACGGGTTGGAGGTGGACTAGAAAACAGTCCGGATTTGTCAGGCGTCGGCAGGTCAAGCCTGGCTAGATCAAAAGTTCCCGACCGCGGGCAGACTAGTGACTAGAACTCTCTGTGGCGCCTTCAAAAACTACCAGAACAGCCATATATTATTGTAGAACAGTTTTAAAGTTTAGTTTGCGTATGTTTTCAGTCAAGAGCGGCTGAGGCGTGGCACCCACTATCGAACCCCAGACTGAGAAGGAGCAAGAGGCTGACGGCGCCTGGCTTCAGAGCGCTCACAAAAAAGCTTCAGCTAGCGCTGCGACAGAAGTTGCGTCGCCCACAGCTGCTGCGCCTTTCACTCCAGCGCCTTCAGCTCCAACCCCCTGCAATTTTGTCCCGAAGGGCTAAGAACGCTAAGAACGGAAGGCGGGGGGGCTGGCCAGCTTTAGATCTTTCAACTGCGCGCGGTAAAGGGCCAGCCTGCGCATCTTTTACACGCATGTAATCGGGCGGCCCCGACTGCTCGCCAATCCAAGAGGAAGAGGCGCTCGGGCGCAATGCGCCAAACACAATCGGCTCAAGAGATTTGCGCCAGCTTCAGAGGAAGTGTAGAAGGAAGCAAGGAGATATAGGTGCAGTTGCAGTACTCCATCTTTTCTTGCCTTAGGACTGACGCGCAACTGACGCCAGCTTGGACGGCCTTGGAAGAGTTCGGTTGAATCAGGCTGGCGCCGTGGCGGCCAGGTCAACGCAGACTTCTGTGGTTCCTTCATGGCTCAGGATCATGGGCAGGCAATGAGCTTTCGCTGTGCTTGTGACCTTTTTTTGCGCGGGGCGGCGCCTAGTTGGGTTCCTCGACAATCAAGAATCGAGGTTTGTTGTCTGTAGGGATACTTGAGTGATCAAACAGAAGCCAGGATTGTGTGTGAAGTGTTTCTTCTTGAGGAAGAGAGGTGTAACTGGCCTGGTGCGCTAGAGTGCCAACTGAAGCAAACGTTAACGTTGCTCAAGAAGCGTCTGAGATATATTGCCTGCACACCCGAGCAGGCCAGTCCACTCTTTCACAAGCATCCTTGCCTCAGCTAGGGGCCTCGAAGGTATTATCGCCCATTTAGAAGAAAGGGGAGTGTGGCCAAGGGCCGACACCTAACACGCCCCACTTGCTATGAAAAGCAGCCTTTGCAGTGTCTCAGCGCACAATGTGGGGTTTTCAAGTGAGCGCGCCGAGTCAGAAAAGGAGGGCAACTATTCAACTTACAATGTTTGACCGTCTCCTTTTCAGCCTATACTCTTCAATTATGTTGTGTGCGTGTGGCATGGACCTGGCAAAGTGGACAGCGTGTTCATTTCTGATTCACGACCCCCTTCGGTGATTGTGCCTTTGAAGCGAGCAAATGAGATTTCATGTGACTGAATAGATGCCCCAGGCAGACTAGTGCCTTAAAAATCCAAATTTCAATGCCCCGGTCAACTTGCACACACCTTTTCAAGTATGTGGTCGCGCGAAGTCATGTTTCATGAGTGCCTCAAACCAGTGTCAAGGATTTGCAATGGCGCTTGGCCCTTGAGCAACCAGGCAGTGATTTTGGTCAAGAGCTGCTTGGAGAAAGTTGACTTTGCGCGAAGCCTCGTTTTTGCATAAGAATGATTGCAAAGTGGAGACTGGCCTCGCTTCAACAATGGCGCAAACCCAGAACATATGATTAAAGATTCACGGCGGCGCGAGTGTTGCCATGGTACACGCAAGACAGTTTGTGTTTCCATGAGATGTCCTCCATGCGATGCTGGGAACCAACAGCGCAACGCATCACGCATATCGCAACAAATTCAAATCCTGTCATCAAATTTTGCGCAAAGCAAACTATGTTGTCGGTCGACGACATTAAAATAACACGCAGAGAAACCACCATGTCTACTAACCCAAATATTTATGAAGTGCACCTCGTTAGACATTGTTTCTAAGGTTTGACGGGGTGAGGCAAAATCAAATGAATGGACCAAGGTCCAGTGTCAGACTGGACAACTGCTCAATGAACGACTCCCGATTCAATTTGGCCGATCCTGACGAATTATTGATGACTGTATGGTTCCACCAGTCTTGCACCATCTATTCTGTGCTTGGCAGGGGGTATTCGAAAAGCCAGGGTTGTGCCACGCAAGGATATGATTGCGTCCACCTTCGGACGGCAAAACTTTCTTTATTGCAATGAGTCTGCTCGTGAAGTGCATGAGAGCCTCTAGCCAGATGACTTGTTGCGGCGTGTGTCAACAAAGGCAAGAGAGGATCAAGATGGACAAAGCATGTTGGAAATGCATGCTGCTCAAGCTGCTGAGGCTTGGAGCGGGGCATCTCGCAGCAAAATATTGTCACATTGGATATCTCTCGCTTCATGGGCGCAACTGCCCTTGATGTGGGCTGCGGCGCTTGACTCACAAGCACGACACGAAACGTGTCTTAAGTTTCAAACAAAACACTTGAGCAAGCTCGATAGCAAGTTGCAACAAATGAAAGGAAACGAGATGAGATGACGTGAGGCTTCGGTCGGTGGACTGCCATGCTGCAGCACATTGGTGCCAAAGTCACTTCAGTTGATGCGTCGCCACATGCTGTCATATCCACGCGGCGCTTCAACCCAGACACTCACCAGATGCGACTTGGAAAGCTCATACGTTGAGTTTGTGTTCGACTGATAGCCTTTTCCTGAAGAGTCCAAGAGGAAAACAGAGACAAGTCTGTCAGGACGCTCTTTGAGCTTCCTACCCTGGAGAATTTTGAGGCGCCCAGCAGCTTCTCACATGTCACCACTAAGAACTTAGAACATGTTGCCTGTCATGTCCTTTGCACCCAGTGGATCCCTGTATTTGAATTCACCGTAACTCACCCCATTGAATTGAACCCAACAAATTTCAAAAAGTCGCAGGCAGGCTTCGACACGGTGATTTGCTGGGGTGTGCTTCACCACACCCATGACCCATACAAAGGCCCGTGGAGATCGCGCTTCAATTGCGAATACTTCCAGCTGTCTTCTTGAAAAGCAGGTTTCAAGATCGTGGCTTCTGCCCTTCGAGAAGGTGGTTTTCTATTTATACAGGCTTGTAATGAGATCTCGCACCTGCGAAAACCAAGCAAGGCTGAAGCTGTGTGCTTTTGTTTTAGCGCCGCCTTGTTCTCTTGCAGGTGTACAATGACCGGGCGAAGGCAGGCTTTCACTACACGTCCCAGCCTTATGAGCATGGTAGAAAACGATGTCAAGTAACATTGAGCAATGGTGAGGTATAAAACTAGAGAAAAGGATCAAGGGAGCCACGAAAGTAATTAATCCGCGAAAGGTATACTAGCATTAATTACTAGTGTTACTAATATACATGTATACTTATTATGTAGAGATGCGCAATCAAAGAGTAAAGAAAAGACAGAAAGGCGGAGCAGTGTTAAACATGTAGAGAACAGTGGAGACGAGTAATGACAAGATATATACTGTATATATATATATCTGCAAGGCAATGCGGAGAAAAAGAGACCGAAGCAAAGATAATTGATACGTAAAAGGAGAGCAAGCAAGCGCGAGGGAAAGAGAGAGGATAGAGAGGCGGGTAGAGCCAGCTCCAAACTTACCCAACTCACCACAGTGCCACTGCTGATGCAAGCGCTTGAGTTTTTTCCAAGGAAACGTCCAAATCACCCGGTCTCACGGTATAGAATCAAACCGGCGTTAAGGCAATCTTTCCGGACACGCTTTCACCAGCTCAAAACCATTGATGAGAAGGTCCACTTCCTCAGGCCGCTCAGCCCCAAAGACGTGGTCTTTGCCCTTTGCCAAAAGGATTGAATTGAAGGCATTTCAAATTCAATTTCATCCTTTCCTCAAAGACATTGAAATGAAGTGTAGTCTAAAGACTGACTGGAGTCTTGATTCCCATGGGTCCAGTAGTGGTCTGTTGTCGTCAACATACTTGTAAAACGAGAGTCTTTGTTCCTGAAGGCTGCTTCTGAGTTTTGTTGTTTTTCAAACAAATGCATTGCCTTTGATTCTACTCTAATTCACCACTCTTTGAGTCCAAACCCTCAACGTCTCTATACATACATACATATATATATATACATTTGCTCAACAACCTATCGAAGCCACCCTGGCCTTCGATAATGGTAGCTGAGACTGACGGTGATTGGGCTCACTCAAATTGGAAAAGACAATGCAACAACTTGTAGATTCGCTGAAGCCCTGCTTCCCTGTTCTTCCAACGAACACTTGCTCAAGAATCCCTGTTCTTGAAGGCACCACAACCACGGCAAGAGACTTCCCGGTCTCTATGGCTCAAGGCGAACCACCCTTCCCACCTGCACTTCAGTAAAATGGCAAAGAGGTGGAACATGTGACATGGCTTCCTCAACATCGACCGGCAAATTCGACATACCCTCTATTTTCTACTTTGTCGAACACGTTCCCCGTTGCAGGTGCGCTCAAAGAAACAAAAAGCCATGCTCTGAACAAAAACATGCAGTCTTGATTGGATGCTCTGCTGGGTATGTGCAAGACATCCCCATAGAGAAGTCCATGGAAGCGTTTGAGAATCCCAACTTTCTCAAGATCTATTTCCAGTGACGGCGCTTCTCTTGTTTGCTCTTTGAAGGCTTTTGCCAAAAAGGGCACTTGAATTATTTGGGATGTGGGCGGCTCTCATTCTATCAGCTTGCAGTCAATGAGGACGTCTTGGCTTTTCCCCATTGATCTACAGGCTGTGCTCCGGAGAGATGACTTTGGATCCGCTTGAGTCGAGCTTTTCGATCGGATCGGTTTCGCGAGATTTTCTTCATCTTGGAGTTGGTATCGCCCTACGTTCATCACTTCTCACTCGCACCTTGGAGGTGTCCATTACTTTCGTGAGGCTGTCGGCGATTTGGGCATTGGATGGTACCCCACAAACTGCTACCCCTGTGGATAGGTGCTCTTTGATCAATCGTGCTTGTAGCAAAGTTCTGAACTCTTGGCATGCCGGAGGAGCTGTCCTGCTTACTAAATCAAAACGGCTCTTACAATCTGTGGCTACAATGGAGTCTTGTTCCCAATGATGGTCAATTCATCAGATTCTCACTTAGAGATTGGTTCGGATCCTTCAGAACAGTTTCAGGTTTTGTCTCCAAGTTGGCAGCTTTGATCTAGCAATATGGTCAAATGCGCCTACGGTCGATGTGTATAGCTTGGGTTGTTTGGTTGCAGCGCGCACCGCATTTTGCTCACAAAGCGTTCGATTACTTATTCATATTTCTTGCCCACGCGGAAACAAAGTTTAGGCGCGCATCATCATTGACATTGAGCTAGTGAGCGGAAGCAGGGCCAGCCACGAGCTGGCAGCTGGCAGCTGAGTGCAAGAACATGTTTGCGCGCAGGCCTCGGGCCGCATGACTGAGAGGATAAAGCAGGATGCAGCGCTGAAACTAACCGGTCTAGAGTCAACAGGGCGCATGTTGTCAGAAAACCATCAACACCGACCCAAATTTAACCAAAAAAATGCAAAAAATCAAACGAAGTGCGAACGAACTACCAACGGTGAAGGAAACCGTCTGAAACAGGCAAAAAGCAAAAGAAAATCGCTGGCAATCATGAAGACGCTAAAAAACTTACAAAACGGTTTAAAAAAAGCAAGAATCAGCCCAAATCTTCCCAACAGGCGTGCCAACATGGAAAATGCTTTGGAAAATGACGAATTCAACCAACACCAACAAACATTGAAAAGTATGCAGCAAAGATGCAAACTGCAAAGGAAGGCTGCATTTCTACAAAAAACAATTAAAAACCATCTACCTGCGCGTAAAAAGTAGACTGACAGAAACATAGAGGCCCGCGACAACCCCTCGACCTTCCCTCGCGCGTTTTCAGCGCTCTGTCATAAAACGCAATGCTCAGACCATGTCCAGCACCCAGTTGCAAAACGCAAGTAAAATTGTCAAGTCCAGCGTAGAATGCCAAAATAAGTTGTTAAAAGTAGTTCAAGAGGAAAAATATCGCAGAAGATCCAAACCCGTATCAAAACAGCAGTTTCTCGTCGGGAAGCACTAGCAAAAGGCAAAACAAGCGTCGACAAGCATCTTTGGTCAGAAATCATTCTATTCCGATCCCACAAAACGATTGCCGTCAGGAAAGAACACGAAGAACAATATTTCACGGGCAAGCGGGCAAGGGATGTAGCTGAAGCACAGTTCTGGTTTTTGTTCCCCAACCACGCCATGGGAGCCGATGGCCCAACGCAAGCGCAAAGTTATATAGTTGCGCACCCTTTAGAGGTGGACTACCTCGCTAACTTCTGCCCCGATGGCCTTGCGCCGGTTGGCTTTCCAAGCAGATCCTTCGCTCTGACAAGCCATTTTGCCAGCGATTTTGTGGGTCAAGGCCGGACCTTGCGGCGGATGGTGGTACAGCAAATGGTCTTTTCGTGGAAGCTCCCTAAAAATGAGTTGTGGCCTGTTCATTGAAGCGTCCTCGGCAAAAGGTGCTTGAGCGGTAAAAGAGCTCTATTCTTTGCAAACGCAACATTCTTGACTTCCTGATTTTGATGCTGAATTTAGGCTTTTGTATTCTTGGCCGTACAGACCTGACAACTCCAGTCACTCTATGCCGAAACCCAAGCGCAACCATATCCAGATGGTGATGTTGACGCTAAGTTGCTGATTTCTGCCTGAGGCATGTGCGTCGTGAGGTTGCGGCAGCGTGCGGCATGTGTGTAGTCGGGCAATAGAACCTTTTGCGGCCTCCCAGCCGGCCAGAGTGAAGCTAGTAACCTGTATCTTGTTTCTCATTTACCTGCCCATGATCATGTTCTAGAGGATGGATGCTCTTCAGTGGACGAGACGGCATTGGTGGTTCTTCTACAGGACTTTTCTGTCCTGGGTTTTCCACCGAATACTCCACCTTGCAAAAATGGTCAAGCCACATCTTGACGAGGCACAGCTTCTCTGCTCTTCTGATCTAAACGCCGACGCTTGGTCGGATGATCGTCATCCTCTGCTGCAAAGATTCCCAGAGGACCGGATGTCTCCCGCCGAAGGCTTTGGACAATTTGTCGCGCAAACTTTCTGGCGTACAGTTCTGTAAATGTGACAACGAAGTGGAAGTTGCCTGAACTCCCTGAACTCTTGTGGGTCCTGCTATTTGATAATGCTCATGTTCTTCTTGACATTTCCTGTTGTGCAAATTGAAATACAGGTGTTTCGATGTAGTGCACACTATGAGTCGTTTGCGTATTGGCTCCTGAGAGATCGGCTCCCTGAGATGCCCGACGCGGCGCATGTAAAAAGCGCTTGGCTTCGCGACGCGCGCAATAGGTTGAAAACACGGGCTTTAACATGTGTGACCCCTGCGGTTGCTCGCAATGAAGACGCTTTTGTCTAGAAACTTGATGATCACACAGGAATCGCGCCAAGCTGATTTGCCAAAGATTGTCTTTCCGGTCTTGAAGGATTTTGTTTCGAAGCTCAGCGCTTACATTGGCGCCAGGGTCCGCAGGTGGGGCTAATCCGAATCCAAATGTGCTCTGGATTATCACGAGCAAGATGACGAAAAAAGAGTTCCGTCGCCCTTCGCGGCCGCTCAGGTCACCCTCGGCAAAACCAAAAAGCTTGGCTGTCAAGCCCTGCTGCACGCTTTGTCGAGTGAGTTCACTGTCTTGGGACGAATGAGGTTGGCAATTTGTTGAAGCTCTTGTCGATAGACCTGGAGGAATCGATTGCATGTTCGGGAATAGACTTGTGAGTCCTGACCTTCAAAAATCCAAAGGGCAGAGATGCTTCTCCCAAGAGACAGTTGATCTCACTAGACAGACTTGCTCGATGAGGCGGTGATTCACTTCGGATCCTCTTTGGCCAGGATGCAAGGACCCTGGGGCTCGGAGGTCGTAGTTCCCCTCTGGGGTCATCTGGGTCAGGGCATTCTCGACGCGACTCATCCTGAGATCTTGGCGCTCCTGATCAGCTAGGATCTCTTCGATCCTCGACGTCCCAACTCGCTCACTCCACTGGAAGGGCCATGGGAGACCCCTGTCGGGCACCTGGGCGCACATAGGCGTCGGTGTTGATCTTGGCGTTGCTGGATTGGCCCTGGACTTGAGGTACTTCGCTAAAACGAGGAGTCGCGAATTTGAGGAACTTCAGACGCTCGATCTTCTGGCTGTGTTCGTAATGGCTCACAAACCACTTGGCCCAGCTTTGGTCTTGAAAGGCT